AAGAAAGAAGAAGAGGAAGAAAGAAGAAGTAGAAGAAGAAAAAAAAAAAAAAGAAGGCGGGGAAGGCTACCTTCTTGCTTGCTCGCTGGCTTCCTCTTCCCTTGCTCGCTCGCTGGCTTGCTCCTCCCATGCTCGCTCTGTCTCGCTCGCTGGCTTCCTCCCTCGGCCGCTTGCTCTCTTCCTCCCTGCTCGCTCAACTGTTGTAGGGGCCGTACCCTGAAGGACTTTTGAGCCTGAGTCGACCCCGCTGCGGGTCCCATTTGGCTCGACCCGCCCACGCTCACGCTCAGGGCACGGGTCGTTCGTCCCACGGGCACCCCCACCTAGTGCTATGAGATGGATGGGGATGGGCCTATTGCGAGAGGGCTTTAAATTGGGGGATGTAGCTCCGCTCTCGCGTCAAGATGGTAGCTCTTTTCGATTCAATTAAGTGTCATCACGCAACTGCTCCTTCCAATACGCAGGCAGTCCGGGGAATTTATTAAGATTTCATCTTTTTTCGTGTGTAGGCCAAGCGTCATCCATTGGGCCACACACCTTTTCAGTAAGTCTAGTGACTCAAGGCAACCCCTACGGCACCCTTGGAGTGGGGTGGCATCCCCCGGACCCCTAGCCACTATATTTTTTTGCTTGAGCCACTAGCATTGCGTCCTCCTATCCAAGACCGCCCTTAGTCCTTCCGGGCTTGCATTGCATTCAAGAGAGCCATCGCATTCAATCCTCATACAAGCCACATCCAGGCGTCCACCACACATCCAAGCATCCTACCATCAAAACCCGTTCTGCATTCATAGTTTATGCGAGGTCCAAGTCATTCCCTTGCCCAGTTTCCCATCCGTGCCCTCGTCCGCGGATCCAGTCCAGATCAAGTCATCTCAAGCTACTCACCTGCACACCACCAAACAAAGCATGGACCAAATACAGTCCCCGTTGGGGTCAACACATCGCCCCTCCCACAAGCCAAAGTTTCCTTCGCCTTTGATAATCCTTTGGTTATCTTCCCCTTCATTCAAGCAAGCCACGCCTTTACCTTAGTCATGCAGTCGGGAAGGATGGTTGAGTCAAACTGACCTTGTTACAAAAACAACACTCCTTTTTGCTTTCTCTGATGCTCACAACAATCCGGTGCCTTTCCTTCTTGGTGGCACAAGGGACTAGCTGCCCCCCCCCCTTGCCCTCGCTTTCCACCAAGTGAGGACCAAGTTCTTTACCGTTCATTCCCTGGCAATGTAACAGGTGAAGGTTGAGGTTAGTCACGTGCCATGGAGGGAAAGGGGAGAGGGGAGAGCTTAAGAGTCCAAGGTCTTGGGGAAAGGAGCGAGGGGAAGGGGAGAGAGAGAGAGAGAGAGAGAGAGAGAGAGAGAGAGAGAGAGA